AATAAAAAGAGCGCTTAGCGCTATATACTATAGAAGATAGGGTTTTTATCCGAACGCTATATAGTAGTAAACGGTTTCTTTTTATAAACTAGCCTAGATAGAATAGCTATATAAACCCTAATAAAAGCTATACTAGTATAATAGAATTTAATAATAATAATAATATTTAGAATTTACTTAGGTTTTTAATTTTATACTACTTTATATTATTAATAAAAATAGGCTATTAGCTAAGCTATTTATTAAAATAAGTACTACTATATTTTTTTTTAAGCTTTTTAAACTCTATTTTTATATTCTATTTCTAGTTTTTTATAGTTAGCTAAATATTTTTAGCTAGTATAATAATTTTACCTTAGACTATATAAATTCTAATATAGTATTATTTAACTTCTAGTAAACTATAATATTAATATATTTAGAAACTTTATTATATTTTTTTTTTTTACTATTATAAATAGCTTAAAAGCTATAGAATTTCTAGATTATATTTTTATTTACTAAGTTTAGTAGTTTAGTAATAGTAAAAACTAGGTTTTTAATACTTTTAAAATTATAGTAGTTCTATATATTATTTTATATAGTAAAATCCTTAATAGAATTAATTTAATTAGTTTAATTATTACGTGTATTAAGTATTAAAAAGTTATAATTTTTAATTAATATTATTATAATAATTTCTATAAAATCCGGTAGCAGGAATAGAGCTTTACTATAAGTTAAGTATAAAACTTAGGTATAGTAAGTTGCTAAAATATATAATAAATTGCTGTAAATTTAAAATAAACTATTATATTTAATTTTAATTATTTAAAGGCCTTAACTTAGTTAATTTCTAAGTTTTTATTTTTAAATATTAAGGTTATAATATTGCTTTTTCTATAACCCTGCTTTTTATAGAATCGGCCGAGGATTATTACTATTTTATAAAAACTACTCTATTAAAAGAAGAATTATCTGATTTATTCGTTGTTTATAGTGCTGTATAGCAGGAGAAGAGCTACCGGGCTTATAACTATCGCACTTAGGTGTGCACGGGATAAAGCAGGATTGGAAATAATATTAAGCAGCAGAGTATAATTGATTATATGTGTGTGGTGTCTCTTATCGGTCGGGTTACCCCGCCCGACGTTCTATAACGTATTCTATAAGCATGTGGTGGTTACAAGCGAGTGGTGGCCCCCACCAAAATCTCTCGACGCGCGACGCGTTCCTTTACAACTATTGCAATGGTTACACCACAACAACAAGAGCGCATGCACAAAGAAAGAGGGCAGGGTAGCGCTTGCTATCCAGGCCTACAAGATGGGCCAAGTGGAAACTCTTGAGGCAGCTGCAGCACTATTTGATGTGCCCCCAACAACCCTACGGCGTCGCAATGCCGGCATCACCCCAAAACACGGTTCTATTGCAACAAATCGCCGCTTACTTCCTACACAAGAAGAGGCTCTTAAGCAGTGGATTCTCTCGAGAGATAAACGCGGCATGCCACCACAAATCGACACCGTACGGCAAATGGCTACGTTATTAGCTATGCAACTTGGACCTATTAAGCCTATCGGCCAGCATTGGGTACGGAACTTCATTAAGCGCCACAACGACCTTTAAAGCAAATTTAATCGCAAGTACGACTATCAGCGGGCCAAATGCGAAGATCCTATACTTATTCGTGGCTGGTATAAACGTGTACAAGACACAAAGATACAATACGGAATTTTGGATAATGATACCTGGAACTTTAATAAGACAGGCTTCCAAATGGGTGTTATTGCAACTGCAAAGGTTGTTACTGGAACCGACCGAGCTGGAAGACCAAGGACAATACAGCCAGGCAATCGAGAGTGGGTTACAATTATCGAGTGCATTAACGCGCTTGGGGGTGATATTCCGCCGCTTGTTATCTTCGACGCCGTGATGCACCAAGCTGCTTGGTACGAGGATAATATTATTCCACCTAAATAGTTAATTGGTGTTAGCGATAATGGCTGGACAAACAACGAGATTGGCCTTACCTGGCTTAAGCTATTCCACGAGTATACAAAGGATCGCACTGTTGGCACGTATCGTATGCTTGTATTGGATGGCCACGGCAGCCACATAAGCCCTGAATTTGATCAATTCTGCATGGAGCACAACATCATCACGCTATGCATGCCGGCGCATTCTTCGCATCTGCTGCAGCCGCTTGATATAGGCTGTTTCTCGCCGCTAAAGCAAGCCTACGGACGCCTCGTTGAACAGATTATAGGCCGCGGCGTCAATTATATTAATAAGCGCGAATTCTTGCCACTGTATAGGCAGGCTAGGCAGACAGCGCTACATTAAAGCAATATACGGGCAGGATTTGCAGCTACTGGCCTTATGCTATATAGCCCTGATCGCGTGCTATCACGGCTGCACACGGAATATCAGACACCACCACCACCCGAACGTCCACCATTAAAAGCATCCTCATTTGGTGAAACACCCCGGAATCTCGCCGAGCTACAAAAGCAAACAGCCTTGATAAAGCGCCATCGCCAACGGGCCACGCATAGCCCGCGAAGCCCGACCGACCGCGTACTTAATCAGCTTCAGAAATTATGCGAAGTATTAATGTCAACTACCGTTCTAGTTACATGCGAAATGGAGAAGATACGCATGGAGAATTAGCGCCAAAAAAAGAAGAAGGGACAGAAGCGCAAATACGTAGCTAAGGGGGGTGTTTTATTAGGGGCAGAAGGCGCCTCTCGGGCACAAACTGCCCAAGAGGGGGGAGTAGAGGGGGTAGCCGCCACGGCGAGCGAGCGACCGCAACGTGCAAAACCAAAGTGCAGCATGTGCGATTCAATAGAACACAATGCACGTACGTGCCCTAGGCGGCAGGCAACTAGCTAGTAGATAGCTGCATCAAATATACCTGTTCGTGGTTGAGATATTCGCGGTTTTAGTCGAGAGATTTTGGTGGGGGCCACCACTCGCTTGTAACCACCACATGCTTGTAGAATACGTTATAACGTAATCCACAAGTTAGTGGCCCGCACAAGCTAGTGGCCCACCCAACCACGCTACCGAGGCCAAATATTCCGAATTACTCCACCACGAACAAATATATTTGATGCAGCTACATACTAGCTAGCTGCCTGCCGCCTAGGGTACGTACGTGCATTGTGTTCTGTTGATTCGCACATGCTGCACCTAGGTTTTGCTCGCTGTGGCCGCTCGGCCGGTGG